ATATATATATATATATAAGATAAAAAATAAGCTGGGAATGCAGCTCAGTGCAAAGGTCCTGGGTTCAATCCTTAGTACTGGTAAAAAAAAACAACAAAAAACACCACAAATTCCCACATAGAACAAGCCCTCAAAATAACAGTAAATGTGCTGTCTTGGTTACTTTTCTCATTGCTGAGACAAAATACCCCACACCTAAAGTTAAAGGAGGAAAGGTTTATTTTGACTCACAGTTTTCAGAGGTTTCAGTCCATAGTTGCCTGGCTCCAAGGCAGGGTGGTATGGCAGGGGGTATCAGTGAGGAGAAACAGTCCATGGTGGGCAGAAGGTAGCAAAGCAGCAAAGTAGCAAAGAAGCAACAAGTGAAAATAGCAGCCCTTTTTCTCTTCCTTATAGTCTATCCAGGCTACCCGCCATTAGGGCAAGTAGCACTCACACACAGGGTGGGGCTTCCCATTATCTATGCCCAGAACTATGCCAAACCAATCAGTAACTACCCTAATTTAGAAATCACACACCCTTAATCCCAGCATCACATACTCTAGATCCAGCCACCTCTGAAAACCTCCACCTATGACCAGATGAGGCTTTGAAGTGACATCTAGATACAAGCCATAATAGGTGCTAAAGGTCGGAAGTTGGGTAGGTAAAGAAGTAGAGGGAAAACATCCTAGGCAGAGGCAAAGGATCCAAGTGAGAGTGTGGTGAAGTGAAAGGCTGTCCTCTCCACTGGCTGAGGCCATGACCTGTGGGGAGAAGCCAGGTCCAGGAGCCTAGAGGGTACCAGGGATCCTTGGAAGGCTTTAATGGGATGATAAGGGCTGACTTTTGCTTGTAAGAGATCACTCTGAAAAAGTGGGTGTGGAGCCAGACTTGGTGGTGCACGTTTGTAATCCCAGTACTCGAGGGAGGCTAAGGCAAGAGAATCACTTTGTCCCAAAAAAACAACAAAAGTGAGTGTGACAAGTGGGGGAGGTTGTAATGGGGGAGGCAGAGTGTGGCAGCAGAAGACGAAAAGGTCAGAGGAAGGAACACCCATGCAGAAGGGAAGGGTAAGGGACGGGGATGTGTCCAGATGATACCCAACTATAATACATGGGTGGGCACTGGTCACTGAAGTATAAGCTGTTAGTGAAGAATTGCCTTGGCTATGAAGATGGTATCCTCTGTGGGGAATTTGAGGGGCTAAGTTTAACTTGGAGCTGGATGTACATAAAGGGCAGAGGTTCTGGAAGTCATTAGAGCTGGAGACAGTGTGGGAAGATCCCAAAGCAAGGATGGTACTGGCTGCCCTGGAACCTCCCTGGTCATAAATCTTCAGGGATCCTGTGGGAAGGGTCCCATATCTGGAGGAAGATGGAAAGATCAAGTGTTGGGACACAATTGAGGAGATGGGAGATGTTCAGGAATGATGCTGTCAATTATGGGGCACACAAGTCAAGAGGTAGGAGAAAAAGTAGATTTGGCAAAGTGAGACCAGTGACCTTGAACATTTTCACTGGAGAGCTGGGGGTGAAGTTGAAAAATGAGGGGGAAGCAGGGAAGTGGAACTGGCAAGGCAGTGAAGACAGCTTTGTTTTGTTTGATTTTTTGAGACACAGTTAGTTCAGGCTAGCCTTAAACTCACTATGTAACCCAGACTGGCCTTGAAATCACAGTGATCCTCTTGCCTCAGCCTCCTGGGTTCTGGGATTACAGGTGTATGCCACCATGCCTGGCTTCTTTTGTTTTTTGAGGCAAGGTCTTGCTGTTTAGTTCAAGTTGGCCCTGAACTCACTATGTAGCTCAGGCTGGCCTCAAGCTCACAGTGGTCCTCCTGCCTCAGCTTCCTGAGGACTGGGATTACAGGCATTCACCACCATGCACGGCTTATAGACAATTCTTTTTTGTTTTTGGTACTGGGGATCGAACTCAGGTCCTTGCGCTTGTGAGGCAGGTGGCGAAACCACTGAGCTAAATCCCTGGCCCCTTATAGACAATTCTTTGAAGGAGAGTGGTAGCTGTATGTTTTGGAATTCTTTTATTATTCTATTTATTATTCTTTTGTTACAAGGCTAAGGGGAAAGCGTGGTATAGTCCATACCTACAAACCCAGCACTCGGGAGGCTGAGAAAAGGGGACACCACAAGATTCAGTGCACACCTATGTGCAAGTTTTCCAAGTTTGGCTCATTCTAGGCCACTTAGAAAGTCAGCAAGACTCCAAAATACAAAAGCGCTGGGGATGTAGCTCAGTGTGGAGACCTTGGATTCAATCTTTAGTATAAATAAATAAGTAAACAAGCTAAGTAGTAGGAAGGAGAAGAGGTGGGAAAGGTATAGGTAGGAGGGTTCCTGGGACCCAGGGGCTGGGTGAATGGGCCCAAGTCTTGGGATTAGTTAAGGGACTAGATCTGCCCTTTGTGTCCCCAGAGGAAGGAGTGGTTGGAGCCATGCCCCTAAGTGTAGGAAGAAACTGTGAGAGACTATCTCAAGAATTCGGAGGGGCCGGGCATGGTGGCACATGCTTGTAATCTCAGCACTTGGGAGGCTGAGGCAGGTGGATTGCTGAGAGTTCAAGGCCAGCCTGTGCTACATAGAGTTCACAGCTAGGCTGAACTACACAGCGAGACCGTGTCACAAACAAACAAACAAACAAACAAACAGATTTCGGAGGGCTGGAATGAAAAACTAGGCATGAGTGTCCGCAGTTTGAAAAGGGTCCGGGCAGGAATGGGGTGCCCCCTTTCAGGTTGGGGCTGTACAGGTTGGGAGGAGGGTTGCCAAATATAGTAAATAAAACTACAGAATGCCCAAGTACTTCTGAATTTAATGTAAGCGAGTCATAAATTTTTAGTATAAACATATCCCACGTAATCTTGGGATATACTTATATTTAAAAATGTTTTGCTTATCCGAAATTTAAGAGCTGTGAACAAGGGCGGTGTGGCACAGTAGCGGGTCGAGGAGGGAATGGGGACCGTGCAAGCCCGCCTGAGCTTCAAGCCTGGAAAACAGGTAGCTGCGCCAGAGCGGCGGGTACCGAATGGGGACAAGGATGGGGCCCCTCCTTGAGTCCATTCCATGCCGTGATTCTCCATAGTCCCCGTCCCAGAATTTTGGTCTCATCCCGCCACCCCTCCCAGCGCCCCATGGTATCGTCCTGAAGACCCATCGATTACTCTACGCTCCCACTCGGCCTCTATCGACTCGCTCCGGCTCCCCTCGCTATCCTTGGTCAAGGCAGAGTGCGGAGCGCGTGTAAGGTATGGAGGCCGCGGGACAAAGGCCAGGAATCAGCTTCTGGGTGGCTGGGAGACTGCAGCCAAAGGAAGGTGCGAGCTGAAGGGACTCAGGGCGGTCAGCGAAACACCGGGAGCTCGCGGGTCCGGCCGGACAGAACCCCCTTCCATCTGATCCAGCAGGCGGTCAGCTACGCATGCGCAGCCGCGGCGCTCGCCTTTCCTTGCCACACCCGCCGCTTGCGCATGCGTGTCCCGCCCCTGCGGCAGGCGGCCGACCCGCGTGACTGCCCTCTGCTGGCTGCGGGTGGCGTGGCGTTCAACCCGTGCCTGCACGGGGTAGGGTCTCTGAGGCTAGGTGTCCCTCGCCGTCAGTCAGCAAATCCTTGAATCCGAACCTCAGTTTCCCCATCTCTAACGTAGGAATGATAATTTCTATCTCAGAGCACAGATGGGATCTCCTAAATGCTTAACACCTCTCCTCTCCAGATGCTCTGACCTTTGACCCCTTCAGATCAGTTCTCCTGCCCTGGTCGAGATTCATTTTTCCCAGCAGCCACGCCATGAACACCACCCCAGGAACAGTGGGTAGTGACCCCGTCATCTTAGCCACTGCGGGCTATGACCACACTGTGCGGTTCTGGCAGGCCCACAGCGGGATCTGCACACGCACCGTGCAGCATCAGGATTCCGTATCTTCCATCTGAGTGGTGGGCAGGGTGGTGCTAAGCAGGACAGTGGGTGAGGATGATGTAGCAACTCCTGCCAGGTAGTGGAGGTGAGAGTCCTGGCCCCAGAGCTCCCTTCCTGTCATTCTCCTTAACCGACCCTAGCAGGTGAATGCACTCGAAATCACTCCAGACCGAAGCATGATTGCTGCTGCAGGTACCTGTGACTCTTGACCTCTGTCCCCTGACCTCTGGTAAAATGACTTGGGCAGAGCCGTGTTTCAGTTTAGATAACCTGTGTCCCTAGGTTATCAGCACATCCGCATGTATGATCTCAACTCCAATAACCCCAACCCCATCATCAGCTATGATGGAGTCAATAAGAACATCGCATCTGTGGGCTTCCATGAAGATGGCCGTTGGATGTACACAGGCGGGGAGGACTGCACAGCCCGAATCTGGGACCTCAGGTGTTGAGTGCTGGGCAGGAGGATCCTGCTGCCTAGGGGTGAAGGTGTGCCAGGCAGAGGCCCATGCTTGGGCAGGTTCTCTCCAAGCAGAGGCTGGGCCAGGGAGGCTGGGTGATTTATTGAGGGAAGGAGAAAAGCCTAATGGAGTGAATTATATCAAAGATCTAGCCCTGCTTTGAAGCCAGGGCCTGCCTTTTCCCTCCTCTTCAGTCAGTCACTAGTTTCAGGATACTGCCAGGAGGGAAGAGCCAAACCTCTGAGGTGGGAGGAGGAGAAATTTCCTATGAAGAGGGCATCAGATGGGACACCAACAGCATCCCCAAGATATGGTGTGTGACACCCCCCCACACCCCAGGTCCCGAAATCTGCAGTGTCAGCGGATCTTCCAGGTGAATGCACCCATTAATTGCGTGTGCCTGCACCCCAACCAGGTGAGAATTATTCATGGGGCCAGGGACTCGGGCTTTGGAAGGTAGGGATCCTGCTACATCTTACCTCCCCTACACCCCAGGCAGAGCTCATCGTGGGTGACCAGAGCGGTGCTATCCACATCTGGGATCTGAAAACAGACCACAATGAGCAGCTGATCCCAGAGCCAGAGGTCTCCATCACGTCTGCCCATATTGACCCTGATGCCAGCTACATGGCGGCAGTCAATAGCACTGTGAGTCCCTGTACTCCTTGCAAATGGCTGATTTCCCAGTGTCCCTCAGGCCCTTCCCCTCCCAGGCTTAAACACCCACCAGCCCCCAGAGCCAGCAACATGGGTACCACTCCTGATGTTCCTTTTTTGCTGCCTGCCATTGTCCATCCAGCAGGTCAAGAAACCTCAGTCTTCATTTCCCTGTCAACTCCTGGCCCAAATCACCCTTCTCTTCCCTGATGCTGGCATTCTCTCTGTGGCCTGGCTACCTTCTCTTTGACCTCCCCTGGCTCCTTTGTCCATTCTTCCTTGGCAGCAGCCTTATTATCCAGACTGCACTGTTCCACTGAGGAGATCTCAAGATGCCCTGGATCCTGCCCGTGGTCTGCAGGACTCTGGTTTGGGCTCTACTCTTCCCTTCTAGCCTCATTTTCCCCCCTCACTTCACTTAAGTCAAATCACAGTGTATCACTTGTTCCACATCCCAGCCTTGGCATGTATATCTCTATCTGGGTGCTCTCCTCTCCTGTACACCTCTGTTGGGCAGCAGTATCCTCCAGGGAGGTGTGTATGAGCCCTTGGCCAGTGTGGCCTTCTGGCCTTAGCTGGTCAGGTGTGCCCTTGGTTGGGGCTAGGCCTCCCATAGCCCTCCAGTATGCCCTGGCCCAGGTCCCTATATCCAGTTGGCCCCAAGTGTTGGTGCCAGGTTCAGCCCCCAGGGTAACCTCCTCTGAATTTCCAAGTTTCAAGTGACTGCCCTTCTACCCAATAGGGAAACTGCTATGTCTGGAATCTGACTGGGGGTATTGGTGACGAGGTGACCCAGCTCATCCCCAAGACCAAGATCCCAGCCCATACCCGCTACGCTCTGCAGTGTCGTTTCAGCCCTGACTCTACGTGCGTGCAGGGCCTGGTGGCCTGGAAAGGGATTTGCCTGGGGCGGGGCTTTGATGGGTTGGGCCTACCTGGTACATGCCAAGGAAGTACAGGGTGGGATTGACTGCCAGTTTAGACTATGTCCCTATCCCCAGGCTCCTTGCCACCTGCTCAGCTGACCAGACATGTAAGATTTGGAGGACATCCAACTTTTCCCTGATGACAGAGCTGAGCATCAAGAGCAGTAACCCTGGAGAGTCATCGCGTGGCTGGATGTGGGGCTGTGCCTTCTCAGGGGACTCCCAGTACATTGTCACAGGTGAGCCCCACTTTTCCTCCCCTGCCTGGGCCTGTGGAATGGGCCAGCACAGCTGCTGCTCCTCCTCTACCTTGCGCCAGCTGTGTCAGACTTCAGATACAGTTGTTGCCCTATGGGTTAGGAGGACAATTACTTGAAACCAGAGCCTCAGAGAAGGGCACCCTGGAGATGTACATAGAGATCTGGGCTAGGGTGTGCAGGTGGGCACCTTGAGTCCTCCCTGTGGAGGCCCTTGGGAAGCCTTGTCCCAGTCAAGGACCATACCTGGCCCTGAGCTACTTCTAATCCTTCCTTACAGCTTCATCTGACAATTTGGCCCGCCTTTGGTGTGTGGAGACTGGCGAGATCAAGAGAGAGTATGGTGGCCACCAGAAAGCTGTTGTTTGCTTGGCCTTCAATGACAGTGTGCTAGGCTAGCCTATACCCTTGGGACCGCAGGCAGCTATCAGGCAATGGGGACAGCCTGTGCAGTGCCTCCAGCCAGATGTACCTATATCACCTGGTCAGAGCAAAACCTCTGGGCTAGCCTCTGCCTACCAGGTTCACTGGACCTAAGCAGGCTACCCCAGCATCTCTCAGCCAGCCTAGACCTGCTATCTTCTCTAGAACTCCCTCAGTGCCCATTTGCTCATTAGGAGCCCACCAAGTCAGGGTATACATGCCTGGGCTGAGAGAGCCTGCATTCCTTTCAGAGAGATTGAGCCCATGGGCCTGGAACCTGACCAAGGCTGGTGCCTACCTCTACATCATGCTTCCCCTTCCTGGCCCCATCAGATCCCGAGGCTCAGAGAACACCACCGCGGCCAGGTGCAAGGGTTTATTAGTCCCTGCCAGCAGCTGCCCTCCATGGTGCTGGTGACCAGGCAGCTGCTGGCCTTTAGGGACAAGGTCCAGACTGGGTCAGGCAGGGGACTTAGTCTGGAAGGTAATAAAAGCAGATGGACATGCAGATGTTGCTTGGGAAGCAGATGTCAATGCAGAGATAGATTAGCCGCTGTCTCTGGGGCCCTGGAGAAAGGGAGGTCATGAATTCCCAAGGAGCTTCCACTCAGCTCAAATGTCCTGTGAGAGCTACAAGCCTCTCCACACAGTATCCTCCAACTTACCCTCCACTCGATGGGCCCAGTAGATGGGAGACTTTGCACAGAGCTGTTGCACTGAAGCTCCCACCTGGGTAGGGTCCACGGTTTGGCTCCCATGCACTGCCAGCAGCTCTTGGGCATGGTGGGTATCCTGGCCAGGGACATGGGACTCTTGGACCTGCAGAAAGGCTCTGATGGGCCACAGCACAGGGGACTTCCCTGCTTCTGGCTGGGTGGGGGCCACACATCCCACCCCAACCTGACAGCCCAGGCACATGCTATCAGCAGCCTCCACTAAGGGAAGATAGAGCTCTCTGTTCCCTGAAACCAGAGCCCCAGCTGGCCTGGGCTGGCTGCACACAGGACCCTTTGTCTGGCTCCTGTCCTGGGGGCTGAGCCAAGTGGGGCTGCTCACCCTGGAGGTGTTCACTAGCAGCTGCAGGGTCTCCCGATCGTGGGCCTCCATCAGGCGGAGGAAGCAGGCCTGGTGCTCTGCTGGGCGGTAGCAGATGCAGTCCTGGGGAGGCAGGTGGGTGAGGTGGGGCTTTCTGTAACATTTGCAGTTTGACACCCTCCCTGTCAACTCACATTCTGCCCGTCAAACAGCACTGCCCAGCTGTGGTTGCTCTGAGGTGGAGTCACCATAATGGTTGCCATGTTCCGGGCCATATCCACCAGGGTGGTTTGGTTGGACCAAGATACCCTTGGACTTGGGAGGGTCAGTTGGAGCATCTGCAGCAATGGCTGGGAGGGGGAAGTTGGAGTTCAGCCAGGAGGCTTTACAGCCCCAAGTGTCCCCAGCCCTGGACTGCAGCACTTCTGCATCATCTGAATGAGCTTTCCACCCTTCTGGTCCTTTGTCATTTGCTGCAGGGCCAGTGTTATGGCCTGCTGTGGGCCCTAGCTCCTCTGGAGGACTGGCATGTGCTAGTTCTGCCCCCATCCACTGTGTATGCTTGTGCCTGAGGATAGGCTCACCTTGGGAGGGCCATGGGTGAAACCAAGAAGCCCTCCAGCCACAACCCCTGCAGTGGCTAGGGCAAACAGCAGCAGCAGACCTGCGGCTCTCCAGCTCCCATGGCAGGGCTTAGTCTTCACCTAGGGGCACATTGAGGTCAGTGGGGTCATTGGTTTGGAAACCCAGAAGCAGGCTTGCTTAGGGAAGGAAGATGTAGTAGGTGGTGGCACTCCCAATCCCTGCCCAGGGCACCCCAGGTTCTTGTCCAGGAAATGGCAGAGGTACTCACCTCTGCAGGACCAGGCCTGGGGCCCTCCATGTAGCAGCTCCTGTGTTCCATGCTGCAGTCCCTGCTGACAATATACTGATTGTCTGCAGCCCCTTGGAAGATTCAGCTGGGAAACCTCAGGATGCTTCTGATGAGCCAAGAACTGTACCCTCCCCTCCAGACCCCGCTGCCCCCTCCCTACCTTAGTATCTGATATCCAGGTCAGAGCAGGGACAACTCCCTCCTCCACTGGGGTGCCAATCACGAGGCCAGGTTCTTAACAGCTGGCCTGTGCAGACAAGAGCACAGCATCTAGGAGGGCATGAGAGCTAAGGCCTCAGGGGGAATCCAGTCCAGCTGATTGGGGGCAGCTCAGGCCCAGGCTGGATGATTGGTTAGGGCAGATTTAATTCTTCCCAGCTCTTGTGACTCTGGACTCCCACAGCAGGTTCAGGGCCTGGCGTGCAGCAAGCCATCAGTAAGTTCCTGTCCAGTGACACTAGTACTGGGCTACCACCTCCTTCCCCTCGTGTCCCTACCTGCTTTTATCCCCCATCACCTCAGACTAGGCATCCAGCAGAACACACAGGCCTAGCACAAAGAGGGTTCCAGGCAATTGGCACCCAACTGGAGCCTCCTGCATGCTGAGGATGATCCTTGGCCTTCTGTGTCCCCCCAGAATGGCTTGCTTCTAATTCATCTCTACTCACTTGTCCTGGCCCATGGTCTATCTCCAAACATGACAGTGTCTAGGCTATGTATGCTTCATCCCATGGCTCTGTTCTGCTTTGATTTTGTGCCCCAATTTTCCTGATTCTTCAGAACTTTTTCTGTAACAGGCCTGAAATGGTGTGGGGCTGCAGTAGTCATTGTTCTAGCTCTGGAATTGGAACCCTAGTCCAGCTTTCTTTTAGTCCTCCCATCCTGTCACAACCCTCTCCCCAAGCTAGACAGCTGTCACTGGAGGTAGCTACAAAGTTGAGAGGAAGGAAGGCCAAGTCAGTGCAGGTTTGAGAGTTTAATGTGCAGGTGAGGTCAAACAGTGCAAGGGATCAGAAATGGGGTTCACACAGGCTCTCAAGCTGGCTGAAGAGGGAGGCATTGCTGGCTGCTGCACCTGTGTGCTCCTGGTGTGGGTGACAACGCCCTGACAGGCCTGCTCAATATCCAGACCCACCTTGAGCTGACCTCGCAGAGCCAACGTCAGCACCACCAACCTCACAGGCATGGGTGCCCTCCTGTTGCCATGTGGCACCATCTTAATTCCAGCCAACCCAGCTGGGAGCAACTTCAGGCATAAGATACCCTTTATTGCTGAGAACTCAGTGAACAGGTGAAAGCACTGTGATCACAGGGCTAGCAGAAGCCACTGGATACAGGGTGAGGCACCAGGAAGGAGTCAGCCAAAAGGAACAGCCTCCCAGGGTCTGCCCTGTGAGTGATGCCAAGTTGCTCAGCAAGCTAAATTTCAGCAGCCCTAGGAAAAGGCAAAAAAGCCCAGAGCCCTTGCAGAGAAACTCTGGTTGGCTGGTGGGCCTGCCAGTCCTCCCACTAGCTACCATCCAAGGAATACAGGCCAAGATAGGTGGCCTCACATCTAACCCCCACTGACATCAAACGCCAACCATGATCCAGGGTACAGGCAGGCAGGGAGAGACTGAATACTTTGTAAAACAACTTCCTGTTATCTGGGACACCTCTTTCCTCCCCCACCCAGAGGGCACCCAGGGTGACAGGCAGTCCTTGGCCAACACATGCCTTTAGCCATGTTGCTGGCTATGGGGCATGGAGACTTCTTCAGAGTGATTTTTCCTATGAGACAGAGCACAGCTATTAATCCACATACTTAAGATTCAGTTCCATCACTTGACAAAGTTGTTCACAAGTTACATTTTTTTTTTGGTACTGACACTGCTCTGAGCTCCCTGCACAGCAGCCCAGAATTCAGTGAAGGTGTCCACACCCGCCTGAGTCACCTGGATTTAAATGTACACTTGAGACAGCCAAAGTCTAGCTGGGCTCAGTTTATAGAACAGGGCAGCTGTGTATGAGAAGCTGCACCCCTGGGCATCTGAAACGAACAGACAATTGTGACATCAAAGTGGTTTTCAAAGGAAATCGGAGGGATGGCAAGGGCAGCACCCTACACCCAAGGACAGGGTGACACCACTTGGGAGTGGCCGCCTCTCACCCTGCAGATGAGGAGCTGGGACACAGCAGCAGTCAGCTCTGCTCCATTACTATGGGGGTGGGGGGTGGGGTAGGGTGTTCTCCTTCTTTCTGCACAAGGGTCTCATAACAGTCACAATAATCAGGCCCTTCTTTCTGCCCAAGGGGGGTTGATCCCTGAACAAAACTTTTAAATACATGACACATGTATTTAGACCTGCCTCAGTCTCAGCAAGGCCTGAGGTTACCTGAATCCTGAACAGGTGCCAAGCCTGCTCTAGCCAACACATCCAAAGCCCAGGACCCACCCCTACGATGCCCTCTAAGCTTAAAAAGTGCATCTTAAATTAAAATATAAGCATCTGTAAACAGCATCGTCCCCAAAACATTTACTTACAAGGCTAACAACTACTGCCTCTGCTTTAACTCCAATTACACTCTCCAGCTACCTCACTGAGCCAATGCCTAAGCCCCACCTATTAATTTGGCTAACGTTTTCAATTACTTTTTATTCTGGAGATTAAAGACACTAAATCTTTAACCTTGAAGGGCAGGCAAGAGATCGGCTATGCTGTCAACATAGAAGTCGGGGACCATTTTCTTCTTAGACATGCAGTCACTTTCCTGATTACTCTTCACGTCCCCCAATGTGGAGACTCCCGTGAGAGTTAGGATGGTCTTCAGGCCGCAGGTGACGCCAAGGAGGATGTCGGTGTCCAGGCGGTCCCCGACCATGACAGTGCGCTCTGGGTTGATGCCATATTCCTGGGACACGCAGTCGAAGATGAAGCGGCTGGGCTTCCCGATGATGTCGGCCTGGCGCTGGGCGGCCATCTCCACCGCGCGCACCAGACAGCCGGTACCTGCGGGGCGGAGGGAGGGAACGGGACGCCGGGGTCAGAGGGTGGGGATGGGGGGTCCGCAGTGCGCCCTCCGGCCTCCCGCCCCGGGGCGCACGGACCCGCGAGGAAGCGGCCGTTCTCCAGCGGGAGCCGGTTATCCATGTTGGTGCCCACGAGCAGGCAGCCGGGCTGCTGTAGGTAGCGCACGGCCTGGGTGAGCTTCATGTAGCTGAAGTGCGGGTCGAAGCCCACCACCACTGCACGCACCTCGGGGTCGAGCGGCGCGGCCAGCCAGTCGGCAGCGGCGTCACCCCGCAGCGGCTCAGGCCCCACGCCCACGCTGGCAACACCCACGGCCTGCAGCTCTGCGGCCAGGGCCGGGCTGCCTAGCACATAGGCTTTGGGGGCCGACGCGCCGGCCAGCCGCTGGCGCAGGTAGAGTGCGGCGCAGTAGGCCGTGCCGAAGACCTCCGGGCCTGCCCCGGGCCCCGCGGGGCCACCGAAGCCCAGACGCCGTAGCTTCTCGGCGTAGGCAGCGCGCGTCTTGCTGCTGTTGTTGGTAATGAAGCCCAGACGCTTGCCCCGGGCCCTCAGCGCCCTCACAGCCTCAGGCGCGCCGGGCACCGCTGTTTCACCGCGCCACAGCACGCCGTCACAGTCGAACAGCAGCGTGTCCACGTCGGCCAACAGCGCTTGGGCCCGCTCGGCGTTCAGCCGCACGCAGCGGGTGTCGTCGCCGCCGGCCTCCGCCATGGCCGCCCGCCGGAGCTGCCGCCGGCCACTGCAGCCACCGGCCTCTCCTCTCAGCCGCTAGCCGAGGCGCCCGCCCCGGCGCCTGTCCCGCCCCCGACACGATCATTGGCGCCGCGTCTCGGGCGCAACTCCCATTGGCTACCATCTGCGCCAATCAATCCCCGCCTCCAGCGGGTAGCACCAACCGCTGCGCTTCAGGGCGGGGAGGCTGGCAGCCATTGGTTGTTGGGCTCAAAACGCTCCGACGATTGGCTGGCAGGGTGCCAACCGGCATGCGGAAAAGAGCGCTAGTTGAGGAAAAGGTGCGGCCGAGAGCAGCGCGGGATGTAAGGCCCCTGCTCATTGGCGGCCACGGGGCAGCTCGCCCATTGGAGGCTCGTGGTCAACCTAGTTGATGGAGGCCGTAGGTCAAGCAAGCCTGCGCCAGGCCGGTTGCTGATTGGCTGGGTTTTCTTGAGGACTCGCGGGAAGGAGGGGCTGCGGCGGCCGAGGCTCCGAAGTCACGTCCGCAGTTCGGTTGGGTTGTGTGGAGTCTATCTCTGCGCCGTGGATAGGTACGGAATATGGTGGCAGCGCATGAACTGTGTATCTCCCAGGCCTGGGAGTCGTCCTGAGGCCTTCTTAGGCCATAGGCCTGACCCTCTTATCTCCAGACCTTTACAAAAACATATTCCCAGGCGGGTGTGGTAGCACACACCTGTAATTACTCCACTTGGGAGGATGTGGCAGGAGGATTGCCTGGAGTTCGAGTGCAGCCTGGGCTACACCGTGAGACCCTGTCTCCAAATAAATAGTATAAAAAGTAGGTGTAGGGATGTAACTGAATGCGAAAGCTCTGGGTTTATTCCCCAGTACAAACGAAACAGAACAAAATAATTACACTGCCTATGTTTAGGGGGTAACATGAACCGCTGATTCCAAGGCAGTGGGATTGGGGTTTAGGAGGAAGATCCTACCTAAACATAGCCCTCAGTATTGATCGCTATTATCAATATCAGTTACTAGATATTAACTTCTATTGAGGCATAACATGGAATAAAGTGCATTTTGGGTTTGGTTTAGTGTCCAGTACTGGGGATTGAACCCAGGGCCTTTGCACTGAGCTGCATCTCCGGCCTTTTTTCATTTGTTTTAATTTTGAGACAGAGTCTCCCTAGGTGGGTAAGTTACGCAGGCTAGACCAGAGTGTGAATCCTCCTACCTCAGCCTACCAGAGCGCTGGATTACAGGGGTGTGCCTGTGCCTAGGTAATGGGTGGAATTTTTATATTTGTATATGTTTGTATGCACACAACCCAAATAAAACTTAGAATACCACGTGTGATAAAAATATGGTAAAGTTGGGTGTGGTGGTGCATGCCTGTAACCCCAGCACTTGAGAGGCTGAAGCAGGAAGATCACTGAGAGTTTGAGGCCAGCCTGGGTTACATAACAGGACTCCCGTTTTTTATTTTATTTATTTATTTATTTATTTTTCGTACCAGGGATCGAACTCGGGTCCTTGTGCTTGCTCAGCAGGCGGCAAAACCAGAGACTTCTGTTTTTAAAAAAAGTATTGTAAATACTTAAATTTAAAAAATTTTATTACAGTAAAGACATATTACCACTAAGGCCTCTTGAAATACCTTTACTTAGAACACACTTATCCCATTGCTCTTTACAGTTTCTGAAGCAGTTCTGGAAGTTTTCTTTTGTGTCTAGTTGTGCTGTCGGGTCTGCCTTGGTGTCCTGAATTAATTCAAAACATTTAACTTTTGTGGTCATTTTGACTTTTACATGTGCCAGAACAGGTGAATAAGGTAGATGAAAACACACCATTATGTTTTCATTTGACAGAAAATCCCATAAATTGCCGGGCATGGTGGCGGATGTCTGTAATCCCAGCACTCGGGAGGCAGAGGCAGGAGGATTGCTGTGAGTTTGAGGCCAGCCTGGGCTACATAGTGAGTTCATTGCCAGCCTAAATTACAAAGCAAGACCCTGTCTCAAAAAACAACAACAAAAAACAAAACAAAGAAAAGAAAATCCCATAAATGTTTGTTCAATGAGGTATGACCAATGTTGAATGTTTAAATAAAAGTTTTTACAGTAATGATTACAGTAATCCACATACTCAAAATACTCTTCCTCACTTCAAACATGTTTATCCCATTCTTCTTGGCAATCTCCCCTCCCCACCTCCTTCTTTTTTTTTTTTTGACAGTCTCTCTGTGTATTTCAGGGTGGCCTTAAACTCACTATGTAGCCCAGGCTGGTTTCAAACTTGTAGTGATCCTACTGCCTCAGCCTCCTAAATGCTGGGGTTATAGGAGTGAGGCATGTGCCACCATACCTGGGCCTTGGCAATGTGTCTTTCTTTTACTGTAATGTTTTTATTTATTTATTTTTTAATGGTGACAGATTTATTTGAAAAGTGAAGGGTGAAGGGACAAGGGAGCAAACTTGAGCCAAACAAAAGAGGAAAAGAGAAAATAAGCTAAAATAAAAGTATACCCTGGTCTGGGAGACATAGGGTGGGCTACCTTGAAGAGTCATGGTACCCTACTGTAATTTTTAAAAATTAAACATTCATTGTAGTTTTCAACCATCCCTTGTATTTCCAACACCCAGAAAGTGCCCCTACCATGTCCCAATACACTCAACAGTGGATATCCTCTCTCAATCATGTTTCAAACTTCTGTTACACAGAGTTGTAGCCTAATTTGTTCTAAACCATCTTGCCCTTTTTTCCAGTACTGGTGACCAAATGCAAGGTTTTGCACATGCTAGGCAAGCACTCTACCACTGAGCTACATCTCAAGCCTTTTTTATTTATTTAGACAGAATCTCACTTTGTAGTCCAGGTTGGTCTCTTACTCTAGATCTGCCTGCCTTAGCTTCCAAGTACTACAAATGCAGATGTGTGGCACCATGATGAACTCTGCCTCAGCCTTCTGAGTAGCTGTGATTACAGGTGTACACCACCATGCCCAGCTACTGGGTCTTCCTTTTTTGGTTCAATGTAATGTCTGTGATATCTATCCTCAGTTTATTGTCTACATTTATTTAATTATCCCATAGGCAATTGTGATACCATAGCCTTCCTTCCACACACACCTGCTGTTTGTTCATTCTTCTGCTGCTGCTGCTGGACATTTGTGTCTTTTCCAGTGTGTGTCTATGTAAATAATGCCCCTGTGAACATTCTTGTTCCTATATAAGCATATGTGGACATATGCACCCATTCCTCAGGTATTATATTTAGGAATGGAATTACTGGGTCATAGGATAAGTGCCTGATTATCAATATCACTTTCACTAGGGCCAGATATCATAAGGATAGTGGTTCCTAGTTTGCTGAGGGCCTGTCCTGATGGCAGGGCATCTGGACCCCCAATTACCAATGTGTTAACTCCCTGTTCTTCTCTTGGGCCCCAGCTATCCATAAAGTCTTCCCTGGATCCACCTCCATCTCCATGCCCAAACCCATCAGCCAAAAATCAATGGCCTCAACAAATGTAAGGTCCTGTTTGTTTATATAACAGCCTGTTTCTGTTGGTCTCTGCTGGCCTCAGAAACTCTGGAGGACAGCACGTCCAGGCCAGAAGGGTAGGGCCTGCAAAATGTTCCTGCCTGGAGAGAACCCCTTAGTCCTACTCTTTATTTGTTTGTCTTGATTTTTTTTGTCTGTTTTTCTTTTGAGATAGGGTCTCATTATGTAATTCAGGTTGTACTTGAACTCACTGTGTAGCCCAGGTTGGCCTCAAACTCGTGGCAATCCTCCTGCCTCAGCTTCCCGAGTGCTGGGATTACAGGCTTGCGCCATGACACTTGCCTGGTTTTTGTTTTTGTACTGGGAATTGAACCCAGGGTCTTCTCACTGACCTACATCTCTAGCACTTTTTATTTTTTTACTTTGGAACAGGGGCTTGCTAAATTGCCTAGGCTAGGCTCAAACTTGCAGTCTTCCTGCCTCAGCCTCCCAGAATGCTGGGATTACAGGTGTGAACCACCAGAACTGACAGTCTCTGGTCTTCATTTTTTTTTCTGGTATCAGGGAATGAACTCAGGACCTTGCACTTGCAAGGCAGGCAGAGGCACCACTGAGCTAAATCCCCAGCCCTTCATGTTTGGTTTTGGTGGCTGAACTCACCCTTGGAAGAAATTCCTTTGACCAAAGACCACAAACCCTTTATTTACCACTCAGTGACAGCACTGGCCAGAATGAGGAATGCTGATTATGTCCAGACATAGCTGGGCTTTGGTGGCAATATTTATTTATTTATTTTTGCTTTTGTTTTTTTTTTTTGGTACCGGGGATCGAACTTGGGTCCTTGCACTTGTGGGGCAGGCGGTGGAACCACTGTGCTAAATCTCCGGTCCTGGTGGCAATATTTAACTGCTTTGGTTTACAATTGGACAATCAGGGTCCAAATAGCAATTTTTATGTGCATCATCTTGCCATAATCACAGGACAGACCTGAAAGCAAGGACTTTCTGTATCTCTGTTTATAGATGAGGAAACTGAGCTACTGAGGACCACTAGCTGTACAATGCAGAGTTAGGGTTAAACTCAGCCAACCCCAGTGTGGAGCTCTGCCATGTCTGGTTGGTTTAATGGCAACCAAGTGTGTTTGTATGTCAGTAGGTGGTAGGGGCTGAACTGGTGGGAAAGTTAGAGTGATCAGTATGGACAGACAGGATGGTTGTGGACAAGGTCCTGGAGGAGTCTGGAAGGGACTATGGCCTTCATTGGAGGGGGACTGGCTGGGCATGGTGGTGCACACCTGTAATCCCAGTGCTCAGGAGGCTGAGGCAGGAGAATTGCTGTGAGTTTGAGGCCAGCATGGGCTACATAGTGAGTTCATGACCAGCCTGGACTACATAGTGAGACCCTTTCTCAAAAAACAATCAAAACATTGGGGAGGACTGACCTTGGCTGAGGATAGCATAGGGTGGCTGTTTATAGGGAAGAGGAGCCCATCATGATGTGTGCCTGATACCCAGTAGGAGCTCAATGTCTACTTTGAAGTGCAAGGGATCAATGTCGCCCCAAATGATGGTGGACTAAGGAATGGTTTT